ACTTTGATGGAACTGTTTGATTTTCTTATGAGGCAAGCGTTTATCTGAGTCACAAAATTTAATCGAGCCGAAAAGAAAGGCAGCAAGAAAGTATAGGGGTGGTTGTATAATTATGGGTTCTTCCAAAAAATTGCAGAAAAACTTCCTTCGAATTCAAAAGCTGAAACTCTGTGCTGATGTACAAAACAGCATTTATACCTAGAACCATTCTCACATCGATGCTTCTTCGAATACATCTTGGGAGAATAGTTTTTGCAGAATTCATAGGTGGCTGCATAATTATGCGGAGCAGTGTGTATGGGAAGCCGGAAGAGAAGTTTACGGCGAGTTATGAAGAGTAAGAATAAGAATATTGAGCATAACACAAGAAATCGAGACGCTCGTTAGGCCCTTGCGAGACTACAGCCTGGTGAAGAGAAAAACCGCATCGTTAGGAGGCAGTTCCACGTTCCAAGGATGACTGGGGGAGCATTTGGGAGCGATATTGCGCATGTCGTATATCGTCACCAACTGTAGCTTGCGTTAAGCATTTGCTAGGAGGCAATCCCACGGTCCAAGGATGCCTGGGAAAGCTTTTGGGCGTGAAGTCGCGCATGCCGCTCGGTGACGCCCACTGTTGCTTGCATTGGGAAAATGCTAGGAGGCAATCAAACGGTCCAAGGATGCCTGGGAAAGCTTTTGGCCGCAAGGTCGCGCATGTCGCTTGGTGACGCCCATTGCCGCTTGTATTAGGAAAATACTGGGAGGCAATTCCACTGTTCAATGATGCTTGGGAAAGCATTCGGGCGCAATGTCGCTCATGTCGTTTATTGTCGCTTTTGGCTACGTAGCCCTCTTCTGGCCAAGTAGCCAAAAGCTCCTGAATTTAAAGTAATGGGAGTTCCCTTTCGAGCTTACGCGCTATCTTAAGGAACTTTTGCGAGCCGTATTTGAGGGTGCTAGTAAATAGAACTTGAATTTCGCGTTCAGAATGCACTCTTTCTCGGGATATTCAAAATTTTAAGCACACTTCCCATTCATGGGCACGTGATCACTCATGACTCGATGGCAAATATCAACAAACTTCCCATAGCACTCGTCAGCATCGCAGCTTTTGAGCTCTTCTGTCCAGTTTACCCGAATCAGTGCGTCAGTTATATTAGTGTAGTCGTCAATGGCGAAGTTTGTGTATGGAAGGATGTCACTGAGCCGAAAACTTTCCGTGAGACGCAACAGGTATCAGAGGCGCTGAACGGGGGGAGGATGACAAGGCAAGGTCAACAACAATAGCAGGGTCGGTAGTTATAACCAAGTGACCAAGCCCAGTGTATTCAATCCGAATTGGGCTTTTTGACTAACTAGGTCAGACCATGGGAGTTGAGTAGATCAATGAGGGCAGATGATGACGCTGAAGACATACCTCCTTGGTGGTTCAGACGTCCCAATCAGTAAGCGGAGAATTGAAGTCACCGGCAGTAATGAGATTGTGTGCCCCGAGACATTCAGCGAAAACCTCTACCCTGGTAGATGGGCTTATATAAACTGTTGCAATAACCGGATCAGGGCTGCCAAAACATATGTGCACGGTGACAATCTGTCAGAACTCCGAGAAACTTTTTGCTGAACTGAGGTATTGATCAATGTCGTTTCGTAGGCGATGTCATATTTAGTTTGCGAATTGAGCGATTTGCTAGCGATTCGTGGGATCCGAGCACCAGCGAACCAAACGTTGCACCAGCAAATCGACCAGTGCTTCAGCGAGTTGAACTAGGTACCAGCGACTCAATAGTGGCGGGACTCAACGTTCAAAGGAAGTACCGTTGCTCTCAAACACTGTCACTTGACATCGGAAAGTGCATCGGTCGATTCGCTGGCGCAAAGTTCGATTCGCTGGTGTGACGTTCCATTCGCTGGCGCAAACCTCGGATCCAGCGATTCGCAATCATGGCATTGGCATTTGAGAACGGCAACTCCACCGCCTACTCGGTAACAGTCTCTGTCACAGCGATAGACAGAATATTTATTACCATAGCTCAAAGTCGCGTCGTGTATTGTGTTCGGCTTAAACCACGTTTCGGTGATGAAAACACCAAATGGGCCCTGGGATAACAGATAATGAAGATTGGGATTTTGTTGGCAATTGAGCGAAATTTGAACGGGATAATCTTTCACTTGGTGTCTGAATCCATCGGAGATCCATAAGTAGACTTCCGTCAATCTGCAGTCGGCGGCGCCTACCGCAAACCCTGACGCGCAGAAGATCCACTGGGTGGTGGGGGAGAACACGGAGTGTCGTGCCGGTCATTAGAGGTGGGATGCGGTAGGTGCCGCGCGTCCTCATCAGTCAGCTAAACAGTTGATCGATTGCAAGGTGGCCGTGACATTGATCGCTGACCTGGCATTTCCCTTCGAGTTCACAACTGATGGAAAGATCCCTGATAACGTACGTGAGTTTGCCTTCCTATTCATTCAGCGTTCCCGCTTTTTTTCTGGAAGTATCTGTCATACTTAAGCTCCTTTGCTTGTTGTCCTTCCTGGCATAAGAATAGGGGGCTGACGACCCTTCCTTATGCACGAGAGCAGCTGGTCTCAAAGGTCCTGCGACTGTTGTCTAATATCCGACTGTTGTCTAATCCTTAGGATGCTAGGTCGTGAAGATCTTGTAGACCCTCTCACTGGCGGATGACGATGTATTTGAATATTGCCGCTTTTCTACTCCGTAAGGAGTTCGTCTTCATGAGAATTTTCGATAACCTCTTTGACCGCATCCCTATCGAAAGCGGCTGTGGCTGCATCGTCCTCGCATCCCTCGATTCCAACCCATGTGATGCCGCAGGCCTTGGCGCTACCTTCTTGGAACTTAGCCAGGGTGCTGTACAGCGCAGGAATGGAATGTCCATCACTCTGCCAGATTCCCAAGGACCGACTTACCAAGGAACTGAGCTCAATTAGAATTAGGGCCTGAGTTCTCAGCATTTCAATCGGAACATCAAAAAATTTATCAAAACGACTGAAATAACTTGAGAACTGCTTTGAGCCAAGCCGGTGGTTGTGCGTCTATCGCGTCTATCGCGTCAGTATTGGCCTTCCTTGGTGCCATATCCTTGCTCAACTTCAGGGCACCAGGAGTAGAGCAGTAGCAGTAGGCGACCGTGCACTGAAGGTGACCCCGGACGAATGAATGGGTTAACATAATCAAACCTTGTTTGTTTGGTTGCTAACTCGTCCGATGGTCAACTAGCAACGAAAGGGGTCCCATTTTGCGGGTTCTTGACGGATTTCTCTGCTTTTTTTGTCACTGGGGCATTATTCAACATCCCCACTTCTACTATGAATCCAACCCAATATTATCATAATTCCTCGCTTCAAAGCAACACCCGTCGATCCTCACCTTCGGGTCCACCTGTCTTTCTTTTTAGTAAGTTCTCCTTCTTGGACTCCCAACCTTATCTAAAAATTCCCCTCTAAGGAGGAGAAATTGTTCCAACCGAAAGCTATTTGAAATGTTCTCGAGCCATAGGGTTGCTCGAAACATCGTAAAATATTCCCGTCCAAGGAATCATTATATAATATAATAAAGCGTGTTTCATAATTATAAGGTCAACCTAAAATTTTGCATTTCCGGAAAAAGCACCAGACTGGCAATTTTCCTAGTATCGTCAGCTGATTCTTTACTGTGAACCACCCCTAAGTCGCAATGTTGACGGAAGCATAATAAGGTCACCCTGTGAAAAGTACAGTCACCTTAGATTAATGACCGACTGAAAAGACATAGTATTCTTCTATTATCGAATGCAAAATCAAACAGGTTCCATGGCCTACTGGGATTGAGACTCCAAAGCAGCTTACCATCGATTTACTATCGAATTTGGGGGCTGCTTGTATACTTGTGTAGATCTTGACTGGCGTTTGTCCGCATGATTCTCCATGATAATGACGTCCCTGAGACGGCACGTCCCGCCCGATCAAGTCTACTTCGCGTGACAAATGATCTTCCCAAGGCGGTGGCGTACCGTATGATCAGCCCTGCTCTCAAATTTTAGACTTCTTTGACTGTTTTTTACTGCCCTTTTCAATATCTTCGCATCACTGAGCAAACAATACGTTATATTTCAACCCTAGCTCCCTCCTTTTATCCCAGACCGTGACTTTGAAGCAGCAACTGCAGATCAAATTGATGGGGTAAAAGTGGTCGACAATGGAAATATGGATGCCGAACTGACCGAAACTGGAGAAATTACCAAAGCAGATGGCCGATAACAAGTACTCCTTCTCTTGAAATGAAGAAAGGGAGAGGTCGGACGAATTTTCTGAATTTGCTTGTTCAACAGCTTCATTACTAGCGCGGCTTCAAATTGGCCGCCACTACCCAAACGCGCGATTTCCACGGCAAGCAAATGGTGCCGATTTCGATCAAAATACGGGTGGACCAAAATTGGCGAATATCCAACCCCTCGTAGAGGCTTTCCAAAACAGTTTTTGCTCCAGCATTATTCCATTTCTCAACTAGGGCACAGTATCTTCTCCCTTGTTACCTAGCAAAAGTATGGATCTTCGTGAGTTGTTGCATTGAACGGTTGAAGTGATCGGCAGGGATTTTTTTGAAAGCTGAAAATCTAATATTTCTTCTGCTATTTCACATAAAGAAGCATTCAATTGTTTATATATGCATATTGTTACTCTAGGGATGTTTGCAAGCAGGATGCTTCATGCTGGTATCAGTATCTTTCCATGTAATCTCCACAATGTTCACGACAAAATGGGCGCTGTTTGCCACCACAACGCTTGTGTGGGAGTTGTCGCATGCTGTGGACGGGTTTGTGTGGGTTCGATCGTTTTTCTCAGCACGAAATGTATATTCAGGCTCATATTGATTGTCTTCCACGACAGATTCCGAGTAATACTATGTCGGCCACAATTGCTGTGGCAAAGTAAATTTGCAACGGAAACAGTGGTTAATCTTTCGTTTGCAAGGTGAATTTATGGTGTAATGATACATTCACTATCATTTTCTTATGGATTTCTCTGAGGCAAAAGAAAACAGTTTAGCATTGCTACAACAAGAATCTCAGCATAGCGGGAATATAGGTAAATATAGGTAAAAGTATGAGTAAAATGGCGAAGATATAGGGAATTTTTACTGCTTCAGAGTTGCTATACACCTCCCCCTCCCGCACGATGGCAGCTTTGGAGGAAAAAGTGGGCGGAGCTTAGCGGGTTCAGTGACATCAGAATTAAATGCTATAGAGACGATGATGGTGGTCGAGGTGTGGAAAAGGGGGTCGTATCAAATCCACCTTGAGGAAGGGAGTCGTAAAGAATTTCAAAAAGTAACAACGATAGGGTTGACCCTGCTCCCACTGCAGCACTATGTAAAATGATGATGTGCTCAGTAGTGTTATTGTGAGCATTGGAGGTGTCGTGAAATTCACAACACTACACATTACTACTGCAGGATCTAAGAGCAATTTCGTTAAGCGTTTGTCATTCTACAAGCTGCTTTAAAGGACGAATTCACGATTAGAATGAAGATCGAAGAAGGCGTAATTCACTTAGTGAAGGGACCCGCGGACCTATTAAGGGTGCGGACTGAAGCGCAATTGGCACCGAAGGGGTGACCTGAGCGAATTGTTAAGGCTCATCTTGGCGCGGTGGGTCAGTGCACCCCCCACTGATCATCTGATCACGCAGCAGGCCTATACTTGGCGAGTGATTAGGTAGGTGAGAGAGCGTTGTGTTGGAGAGGGCACAGCGATGATAGTCGCATCAATGGACAAATCAGCGAGGAGGAAAGGGTCCCATTTCTCAGGGTTCTTTGCGTTTCATCATTGATTTTTCTTCTTTAGGTGCCATCAAATCGACGAAGTTAAATTGGAATGTTTGCTTTTCCAGTGTGGATTCGTCCTTTGAGACTACAGTTTGCGGAGGGACAGGCAGACATAAATAAAAAAATAGAGCATTCGCCGTTGATCAAACCCTGTTTGGGATGCGGCACGCATACTACTTCCATTTATATTTGTAGTGGCGTTTGAATGCGATGGCGTATAAATGACTTGCGGGGGCCAGACCATGTACAAGTCAGTGTTTGTATCCTCCCAGACACAGCGATGATAGTCGCATAAATGGTCAAATCAACCCCGACCCCGGAGGGATGGAAGGTTTGGTGTCCCAGACGACGCGCGGCCCAGGATTCGATCCTCGGACCGCGCACATGATGAGCGTGCAACTTGCCGCTACGCCACATTCGCTCTCAGGTAGGCATACCGACCGAAATACGTGCATACAATAAAAACATACACACTTGCATACATACATGGAATTGAGACACTAACAATAAGTCAGCGACTATATAATTTTTACGTTTAGGACTGCGCGCAATTCTGAGAATATGCACAAATGATTCCTACTTTCCTCGAAACGTGGCAACAAGAAGTTGTGTCTACTGCATGTGACTCATATCAATGCGTGCCACTTCCTAATTCGACCAGCATTATTGGATATGCGTAGAAGTTTCCTTCATTAGATTTGGATTGCTTTCTCGGAAAGATTAGCTGTGACACAGCGTCAACAGTATATTCTTATGGCAAGACAGAAATAAAGGGAAAATCGTGATTGTGCCATCTTGCTCTTGATTTTTCATTTTATCGGTTGTGTTGCTCAAAAAAGCTGCGGTCATCCAGCAGTAATAAAAGACTAATGTAATGGCTTCCCATTACAGGGTTAAGAAAAGTCCTCCCACGTATGTATAAATTTGAGGTGACATTTAAGCAGAAAAAGGAACTCAAAATACTGAGAAGTATGAAAAATTAGTTTAAGTAAAGACCCCTCCTGGTTCTCTAATATAGGTTGAGTTACAAACTTGCTACTCCCCCTATGTGACCGTCTGACGCATTGCCTATCATAGAGCCTGTTTGCAATGTGAATGCACCTGATTTGTAGTACCTTGCTTGGGCACATGACCCAGCTAAACACATTTTGCAGTTGTGCTCTTCCCAATGCGCCGTCGAATGGCAATACTCACTTCAACCAAAGAAGGTGGACTTGGTGGGGCTCCTCAGTTTTTTATCCCAAGGGATTTCATTTCAAGAAAAAAAAACTTGGATCCTCAAAAGTCAGGGAGTCGAAAATCTAGCGGAGGTGATAAGTTAATTTCCGAAGCAGAATTTTCACGTTGGGAAAAATGAACTTTAAGTTTGTGCTTTGGTGATCACTTTTGGCCGTACTACGTGTAAACATCCTGCTATATCATAATTCGCTAAGTATGTGTGTATGTGAGTGTGTGTATGTGCGTGTGTGTACGTTTGTCACGAAATTCATATCTCGCTTCCCTGCTGCGATGGAGCGACATAGAGGGTGGGTAGAGAACATATTTGGTGGGGTTCAGAAAGTGACCGACTGATAAGATCTGGTAAGAGGCGTTAGAACGCAAATCTCATGAAAATTATAGCGCGCGTCCCAGCAGCAGATAGCCGTTGCTTTCAATATGTGATGTAGAGGGTAGGACGAGAACATAGTTGGTGGCGGTCAGAAAGGATAACGACTGATAAGATCTGATTAAGAGGCGCTAGAATGCAAATATCACGAAATTTATAGCGCGCGTCCCAGCAGCAGAGGCGTTGGTTTCGATAAGTGATGTACGGGGTGGGACGGGACCTTTTTTCGTTTTTTTGGGTTAAAACATTGGCTGATAAGGATCAATGACAACGAGATGCGTCAGAACAGAGGCCACCCTTTCGCATGAGTTGTTGTCTTCGGCCTGAATTGCCATTTAACCGATACACTCCCCAAAGTCCCTTAAAGGAAGCGATCACGCTGGCTTCCACGCTGGATTTGTACCCTCGCGTTATCAACCGATAAGGTCTGAGATAGATTATGTTTGGACGAGAGTTACCCCCTAGAAGATACGATATCATAAGATAGGGAAATGCGGCTGCTAAGAATAAAGTACACTTCTTCTTCTTCTTAGCGTTGTTGTCCAATTCTTGTCGGGTACGCTTTTTCCACCAATGTTTTTCAGCGATTCCGGTTCCATGCGTCGGCTGCAGACAGGTCTGCAGCATTCATATCGTATTTCAGGTTGTCTAGCCATCGCCTTCTGGGTCGGCCTCTTGGTCGTGTACCGACGAACACTATGTTGTCTGCCGACTTGGACACAACATCAGGGGGTCTTCGTAGGACATGACCGTACCAGCGGAGGCGTGAGGCCTCAAAGGTGTTGGCGATAGGTCAAACTTTGTTTGTCTCGTATGTGTTCATTCCGAATGCGATCTAGACGCGTGTGACCCAGGCACCATCGCAACATTTTCATCTCTATGGTTCCATAGGCTCTTGTTTCGTCAACCGTGCTCTGTTTCGTTTCTCAATGTCCAGCTCAATGTCATCAGACCTGGCTTGCGAATCTTCATCGATAGGTAATTTTTTCAGTTCGTCCGAGGTCTTTGATCTTGTTCCACCTCAGGAGCTTTTTACTGATTCTTGGCTGCATGAAGGCAGGTAAGTCTCTGAGCATTCTGATCGTGGCGACAGCGGGACGATGTTGGCTGCTAACGCTTGTCGATGGGATTACTTTACAGTCGAGCACATCGCTTCGATGATTCCTTTTTCCAGAATGCAGTCAATCTGTGCCTTGTGCTCTCCATCGTAGTATGTGGTGAGGTGTGATTCCTTCTTTTGGAGGAGTGAATTGGCAACGACCAAATCCAACGACTTTGCATATTCTAAAATTCGTGTTCCATCTTCGTTCTTTACACCACATGCAAATCGCCCTTGTGTGTCCTCGTACTGATCGTTATCAGTGCCGATATGCCCGTTGAGATCTCCCATGATGTACAGGTTTCCATCGGCTGGAAACGTGGAAGTTACATCGGCAAATCGTTTCCAGAACTGATCTTTGACGGCACTGGGTAGGCTTGCTTGCGGGGCATACGCACAAACAAAGTGTGTGATTCTCTTGTCGAAGATCATAGCCACATAGACGGTGTGTTCTAACCTCTGTGAAACGGCGATGGCGACACCATTGACTTTCGATCGTTCTCCCTTATAATACAAACTGTATCCACCAATTCTTTTCGTTTTGGCGCCGGTCAATTTTGTCTCCTGTAATGCGCAGATGTCGATGTTTCTTTCTCTTAGCATCTCTGCCACTTCGGCAGCTCGGCCAGTCAGAGTAGCAACGTTGAGGGTGGCAATCCTGATAATCTTACGTTTGTCCTTGACGGAGGTCTTCCTAGCTTGTTTGCCCATTACGGTGAACGTCCTAGCTTGACCCATTACGGTGGGTGACCTAGCACTGATCGGGATACTTGAAAAGTCCATTGATCATAATTGTGCAGAAATTGCTATCCTCCCGAGTGAAGTTCTGCCTCCTCTATCCTCTGAAGGCACCTTCCGCGTTAGCTGGCCAAAGGCCGTTGCCACTCCCACGCCACGTTGAGGCCACGGATAGGATTTGTGGGAGCTAAGATTAAGTACACTCTAGAATGAAAATCAGACAATCACGATAACGGTATCATATCTAGCACGCACCCCTTTCCACATCGATAAGTCTCGGTTTTTGCTAATCGGGAGTGGATTTCGGCGTCTTATCACTCCGCTGATAAGGCGCTACTGCCACTGAAACTACACGTGTTGTATCATTGGGCAGGACCTCTATCCACTTCAGTACACAGCATTCCTCATCGTCCCCAAGAGAATTATCGTGACCACTTTCTTTAAAATGCAAGGTGGATGTTTGAAGAAACATGATAATCCGTGTTGGATATTTTCATTTCATTTCCATCGGCATCAAATGTTGTACGACCGCTAAACTGTCTTGACATTCGATGCATTGTGGATATTTACAGACTTTTCTTCGTACTGCACCGCACTTATCAAGCGGACAGTGAGCCAACGCATTCCTGGAAGCAACTCATTTCGTACCGGTGGAACCTAA